GGTGTCAGCAGGTGTGCTGATATATCAGGATTTTAATTTAGAATAGACTTTATTTCTTATTATACCCTGAAAACATTAAAAATGGGTATACCAACTTGAACACAGACGCAGAACACACGCCTAGGTAACGGGATCGACGGGAAATAATGATTTGGGTTTTGATTCCGATTCCAATTCCGATTCCGAGACTGTATTTAAAACGGTAAACACGCAGTTTCGATTCTCTATTCTATTCTATTCTATATGCATGCAAGCCGATAACTCCATTCAAAATCTTCAACATAGATTTGCACAAATCGATGATACCCGTTTTGTGCGGTGCGTGCAGGGTACAAATATCACTTTACACGCTTTGTCCAACAAATACAGTTCACAATATCTGGGCGTGTGTGTGTGTGTGTGTGTGTGTGTGTGTGTGCGTGTGTGTGCGTGTGTGTGCGTGTGTGTGTGTGTCTGTTTGTGCTCACACAAATGCATTTTGGTGCGTGGCCGTATTGGCCAGCCTGAGCCAAATGCGGAATCGGACTCATTGTGTATGTGCGGCGATTTGTGTGCTTCGACAAAGCCAACGCCAGAAGCAGCAATAACAAACTTACAACTAAGTTCAAGTGTGTCAATCATGCACCACTGATGAACTGCGATATACCCTCTATATCAAAATATAGATAAAGCAACAACTAAATTGTTTAGTGAATCAAATAAATGCGACTAATTTGCTTAACTAATTGTTCGGCAATGGCTTGGCTTAAGACAACCTTGCAGTGTTGTTAGTTATATAGCACTGATTAAACTAAAGTTAATTAAAAATATATATAATGCAGATTATTACTTAAGAAATTTGAGAATGGACGAGAATACTTGTGCATATTCTTGTATTTTCTCATTTAGTCTAAATACCCGATGACACTAATTGTAGCCAAAGGGTATAACAACAATATGAAACCTTCATTAGCGAGCAGCCAGTTTGAATGGGAATGGGGATTTATGTGGTTTGGCTTTGGATTGCAGCCAGTTGAGGCAGCAGGCAGCAGGCAGCGTCGCATTGAAAACGCTTCCGGCCATACAAATTGTACGTGAAACGTGAGAAATTAATTCCCAAGGTGCTCAGCAGTAGCACTGCATGCACACGATGGTTCAGGGGAGTTGGAGCTGGATGGGTGGTGGTTGGCTACTTTCCTAGCTAATGGACATCAAAGTTCAGAGTTCGGTTCGATCAAGCGTTAGGCAGCCACACCAATTTTGCACTTTAATCAAAGAACCGCATAGAAAAGAGTTAACATCGGTTTGGTGTGTGCTTAATCATATATCCTTTGATAGGTGCAATATATTCCTGATTCTTGCACACATCCATATAATCGGTATGAATATGATATATTAGTCCAATTTTTTCCAATATTTTTTTTTTGTTTTTTGCACAACTTTGCCATCATTTGATTAAGTATTCGAATGATAGCTATAACATATGGTGATCAGATCCATCCATAAAGTAGTTTGTCTGCCGCATACATATATAAAGCAAAATAGCTATGGCAATATATATGCATATATTTTATGTGGCCGGCGTTGCCTCTTTCATTATCTGTCAGGGTATAAAAATAAATTGCTCAATTATTGTGCAATAAAGCTAAAATTAGGCCTGACTGCATTTTAGTTGCATCTGAAGTTTAATTACCAATTATGATTTGCAATTAATGGTGTGTTTGCTGTGCATAAAACTTTTCGAACTGCTCAATTTGTTGGTTATTTGAACAAATTTTAAAGCCAACTGTTTCTTTAAGTCTTTAATTGATTATTAAGAGTATCATGCGAAAAATACGTTAAAGCATTTAAGCATTTAATCATTTAAAGGTTCAGCTTAATATGGTAGTCAGCTTAATATTTTGATCTCACTTTAACACAAAATGTCCAACACAATTTGTCTATTATTATGTTGCCGGATTTGTGACACATGAAATCAGTTGAAAGTTATTCAATTTCCTAAAATAATATTAAAGTTATAATTGGCTTTAGCAGTTTGCTTGGCCAGAGTATAATTTTAATTCACTTAAAAAGTGGAATATTTTTTGATTTTCTTTTTATTGCTTTATGAAAGTTTTATTTAGTTTCTGTTACACATACTAGGATGCATTAATTAAGCAAAACTTTTTATACCCTTCTAGGGAGTATTATAATTTTGTCGTGCAGCTCGTAACGCATTGAAGCAATCGTCTCCGATCCCATAAAGTATATATATATTCTTGATCAGCATCACTAGCCGATTTCTGTCTGTTCGTTTCTATGCAAGCTAGGCCGTCAGAGTCTGCCTGATCGGATCGCTATATCATATCAACAATCAGTTAGAATATGAGTTCTTGTATATATGAAAACCTTTTCGTGCTCAAACTCAGCAGTTATGCGTGCTACATATAATTGGACAAAATATGATCAACATCGGAATACCATATCAAATATATATATGTATATCATTGGAACAATCGGTCGATTCTTTAAATATATATATTAGTCGACACTATGACTCCGTTTTACAAGTGTATGTAGTCTTTGGCATGCCTACGATAGCCCTTCTCCGTTCTTGTCTGTTGCAATACACAAAGTTAGGGTTCAACTTAAAATAATAAAAATACAAATAATACAAAACAGGTCAAATGCATGGCCAAAGTAAATATGGAATGAATTGGTTCCTTCTGGAATGGGAACGGGGCAGTTGCTTATCTTAGAAGCGATAAAATACACTCTAAAATATAACCAAGTCTCTGTGTGTGTGTGTGTGTATGTGTGTGTGTGTGTGTGTGTCTGTTTGTGTGTCGTCTATTTCCCATATGCATGGAAAGAAATGTCAAAAATCAATTTAATGCTGCCGTAACGAAAATCTGTCAGCTTGCAGCACAAATAATGTCAAAGCCATACATACACTCACACACACACATAAGTGTTGCACACACACACACACACACACACACATACACACAAGCATAGGTTGAAAGTATGCGGTGCTTACGTCTGTCAGCGGCAATTGTGGCTGATTTGCGCTTTTTCTTGCTCTACTTTGGCTGAAAAAGTGGTAGAAGTGGCACAGGAAAAGGAAACGCAATGCAAAGATGCAGAGGCTGAGGCTGAGGCTGAGGCAATGGCTGTGGCTGTGGCAAAGGCTGAGGCAGAGCCAGCGACTAAGATGAGAGGATGATAAACGGCAGCGCACTCCGTGAAGACGTCACACAACATTCGAAAAGCGTTTGATAAACGGGCAACGCGCATTGCAAAGCTGTTCTTAAGTGTGTGTGTGTGTGTGTGTGTGTGTATCTGTGTGTTTGTGTGTGTGTGTGTGTGTGTGTGCTATTGAAAGGGTTCGCCCATCGACTGTGCGTCGCTGTGACAAGTGAAATGATTTCTGAAAAGACGAGCACCGTCGCCTCAGAAGGCAACTGTCAGCTAAACTGACGCTTTAAAAGGAGCGTGAGGCGTTGCCACAACGCGACAGCTGCAACAAAAGCGGAAACTGCACTTCAACAACTGTTGCGCAAATAGTTGCAAGAGCACTTGCGTTCTACAGCAACTTATCATATTGCTCAGATCAGTCAGCAACCGAGCTTTGTGATATATATATATATATAGATATGTATATATTTATAGAAATAATTTATTAATTATTATCGTTATTAGCAGTGTGCAACATTTTTAATTGGGGCGCTTGCTTCGAGATACTTGCAGGTGCGTGGTAGGAATGGGAAATGGCTTAAATGTGTCTGTTTGTGTGTGTATGTGTGTGTGTGCGTCTGTGTGTGTGTGTGTCTGTTTGTGTGTGTGAGCGGTTTTTGTGCTGTACATTTTGTTATTGTGAGCTGAAATCCGAGTGTTTTGACTTTGAGAATTAGCTATTGTGATAACATTTATGTGTGTTTGAGTGTGTATGCGTGTCTGTGTGTGTGTGTGTCTGTGTGTCTGTGCGTGTGTGTCTGTGTGTGTGCTTGTGTGTTTTCAACGCATTTAATTGGGCAAGCGATTGCCTGACTTGCTTACAAATGTGCCTCAAAACGTGCGACGGGCTACACCAAAATCCAAAAGCCAAAAACAAGCACGCACTCGACTCACACACACATAAACAGAGTGTGTGTACGTGTGTGTGAATATTACATGCGATAAATTATTTTAAAGCGCCTGTTGTTTGTTCGGCAGGAGTCCTTATTCCCCCGCACCACCAACCCCTTAGCCCGTAGCCCTTTGCATCTATTTAATAAAGCGCGACGCATCAGTTTTAATATTGTTACGAATTATATTTACGCTCATAAAAATTTATAAACGTTTATGACAAGCCTGCGAACAGTGGCCCCACATCCAGCTCCACATTAACCTTCACGTACAATTCACTCCAATACCAATCCCAATCCCAAGCGCATCCCGCTGGCCCCCAAAACGTTTTCATTAATAATTTTTGCCTTTGTTTTTGGCATTTGCTGGCGGTTTTGGCGACTACTCAAATAAAATTTATTGTTTCTGATATTTCTTTAGTCATTATTATTACGAACATTTATTATTTATTATTTATTTATTAATTTGTTTTACATGCGGATTATGGGCCTGCCTATGTGACACACACACACACACACACAAAACACTCATACATCAGCGATTGGAGTTGCCACACTGTGGCACCGAAGCCCGAAAAACGTTGCAGAAATCAGAATATGCTTTATACATTTAATCTATATATTTTTGCACCAATTTTTTTACGTTTGTACATCACTTATTTTTATATATATATGTGTATAATCTTGAGCAAATCATCGACTGGCGATGTAGGCCGTAGTCCATATTAAATATATTGAAGAAAAATGAAGCTTTTTGACAGCAAACGAAAAGCTATTTATAAACTAGACAATTGAGATAAATCACCTATTATCAAACGGGGCCTCAGGAAATGTGTACTCAGAATAGGAGGCGTCGCCTTAAACTTTTCGCTTCATCTGGATCGTGCACCGCCAGGAAAAAATAATACTCAATCTTAGTCGAGCTTGTGAGCTGAACACATCTGAAAATAAAATTTAAATTATAAAAAAAATTGTTGAGCTGTAAACTTTTATAGAACTTTAATAAAAATAATAAAGTATAATATAATAATACGCATTTGAAAAGCGTTGAAATCTACCAGCTTTCTCCAAAATATTTAGTAAGTACAAAAATAATAATTACAAAAAAATTGAGTTCTTCTGCAAGCAGCAAGAATATATATGAATCCTTCGAAAGTAGGTGTCGCCTCAAACTTTTCGCTTCAAACGCAGTTGCCAGCGCCTGAATACAAATAATATTTTGTCTCCGTCGAGCTACAGCAATATAAATCAAATAATAAAAACTTCTCGAGCTGTAAACTTTTATATGTTGTACAAACGGGGAAAAATACGCATTTGAAAAGTGTTCATATCCAACAGCTCTCCACAAAATAAGCAGTAAGTGAAAAAACAAAATAAAAAAAAATAAAATAATAATAATAATAATAATACTAAATATAAAATTTGGCAGCAAACAGCAAGGTTATTCCAGAAGCAAAGCATTTCGAAAATAGTCTGAACGGATTAATCTAATTATTAGCTGTGCCTCCTGCCAATTGGTGTATTGCATCTTTATTGTCGCGTTGATGAGAACGAAGTCGGGCCTAAAACAATATATAATATACAATAGCGATTCTATTAACAATCGGAAATATGAAGAATAATTCAACTGTGCCTCAGTCAAAGGGCTGCTCGAAGGAAAAATGCCAGTCTGACCATGTGTATTGCATCAAGGTCGGCATCAATAATTACATGCCTACTCGAAATCCTATTACTGGCACTGGATTAAATGGGGACGGTCTCGGCGTTCTGAAGCCGATAAAGCCAAAGATTCAGGGTTGGTTCTAAATAATATCACAGTAGTAGATGGTAGATAATTATGTGCTGGATATTCCTACTACCTGTGGATTTTGCCATCCAAAGGGTTTTGAATATTAGCAATTTTGAAGCAACTATTAAAATTAATTTTCTCTGCTTATACTCTGATATAATACCTTCGGTATCAGGGTATTATATTGGTTTTGTGCAATGTCCATCATGCTCTATCATCAAGCCCGTCTGTCTGTATGAACGCACCTTTTTCCGACACCCTTAGAGATCGACACTTTAAACGTGGAGCTGTAGTTATGAAAACTAAAGATAGATTATTAAGATCGTCCTCCAAAAATTTGTTTCGGCAAAAGCCTATATCTACCTAAATTGCGGTAGATAAGGCAAACTTGGAGGATAGATTACTAGGAACCTCCACCAAAGATCAGAATTTCTTGGCTACACCCACCCTGCTCTGTGGCACCTGTTATCAGATGGTATGACTTACGGGGATCAGAGTATTTCGCAGTCGACTGCAACGTTCTCTCTTGTTTTCTTTTATTTTCTTGGTTAAATACAAAAAAATGATACTAAATACAATTTTGCAGCAAATAGCAAGGATAAATCAGAGGACGCCGCGTCCCGTACCGCTACAAATAAATCGAGTAGCTCATCGGATGTTGATTGTGCCAATGTTGGGCCCGTGCCCGCTCAAAACAGTGTATACGACCAGTCAGATAAGCACCACGTAAATATACAGAGTCGCGCTGATACGGGTACCAATCCAGAACGTCCGTTCTCTTTCAATAATATGAGGCATGATTCAAATGCGTTTCAATCAAGCAACTGTTCTCAGGGAACATCCGTTAACATATCTGCTCAGAACCCAATTGGTGACTTTGGAATACAGGGCGACGGCTCTGGTAGTCTAAGGCAGATGATACCAAGGATCCGGGGTATGTTTTATTTAATAATACACTTTGATATAGATAATTATTGTGTGTCGGATATTTATTATACAGTTTCTAATCAGAATTTTAACAACTTTGGATCAACCATTAATGTTCATTTTCTTTTTCTGTTTATTTTTATTTATTTATTTATTTTTTTCAATTTCTTTGACAGAAGGCAATCCACTTACTGGAGAAGGTTACAAGCCAGGCACTCAAGATTATATAGGACCAGTGGGCATGAACTCACATGAGACGATTAACATTAGCACCGTCAATAATGGGAATCGTGTGCCACCCGGCGGATATTCGTCTGGCCTCTGGTAATTTCAAATTACTTTCCCACTTAGCAACTATTTAGTCTAGTTAAAATGAAAATGAAAAAGAAAAAGAAAAACCAAAACAAAGCCATCACATACATACTCAATGAAGATTACTTCAACACAGCAACGAATACTACAATTACCAAAGACAGGGTAATACCAAACAATTACTACAATTACCCGGAACAAACTACCACAAAAATACTAAATACAAAATGCACACCGGAAACAAAGACAATTGACCAATTGACTACAATAACAGGCAACAAATTTCATATTAAAAATGTTTAAGATAAACTTAAGGAAAAATCAATAGTTGTTTTAAAATAAAATTTTCATTACCGTTTTAATATTTGTGTTTTTACTCAAATGGTTTCCTCTCTGAAATTCCTATTGCCATAGAATTGTATGGAAAAATGTGAGGAATGGCCACTGTGCTGGGATGGCATTGGATTCTGTCGATGGGCACAGCAAAAATTTCGTTTGATTTGTTATCAGGTAGCGATTGTTGTTATTTGCCTTGTTGCTGTTGTTGTTGTTGTTGCGACTGTTGGACCTGTCATCGTTGATGGCGTTTGTAATTTCGTTTTCGGTATTATGTAATTTATTAACATTTCATTGAAAGTTATGTGCGGGCACCGGCGCCGTCGCCGTCGCCGTCGTTGCCCTGCGTTGACGACATCTTTAATTAATTACATTTTAACATGATAATTAATAGTGCCGCGGCCTCTGACGACAGACGAGACGACAGCAACCCAAACCAACCAATTGATCGCCTGACATAACATGACAAGTCTCACTCCACATATACACGCCACACCCCCTTGAGACCCACACACACACACACACACACACACATACACACACACACACATACACATACATGCTCATCCACATTCACACAATTTGTGGGGGAGTTCAAAGTCTTGGCAAATTGCATTTGACATTTTCGGCAATATGTAACGGCGACACTGGTCAATTTATCGATAACTTTTTGAAGTTAGAACGGCATGCAGAATATATTCATGACATAAGAAAATCTCAATAAATATATCATTAGATTTCAGCCAGTTGCTATTGTTGGCGGGTTCATATTAAAGCACAATCTCAACTTTAAATTTCCATAACTAGACGAGATATCGACGAAGGATATGGGGGGGATTTTCATGGCAGTTGGGTAACTTTTATACATAAAATGTAGAATTATTACTCCATAAAAAATAAACAAAAGAAAGATAATAATATATATTGTAGAACAATTGTGAATCCCAAATAAAAGAGTTTAAAAACAATGCAGCAACAAAAATTCGACTGTAAAATATAATTCAGAGCTATCAAGCTATAATAACAATATATGAAGATGATAGATATATCAAGCAAGTCATGAGGCATGCGGCATGAGGCACACACACACACACACACACGCGCACAGACATCTGGCGAGTCGATGAGCACATTGATGATGACTATAATGATACACAAACAATTGCCAAGGCATTTCAATTCAATTCAATATATAGCTTCCGCTTCGTCCCCTTTTTTGTTGTTGTTGCCTCCTCTGTGTGTCTGTGTGTGTGAATGTTTTTTTTTTGCCGCATTTCTGTGCCGCTACCATGTTTTTATCTTTCCGTTTCGTCGTGGTCCGTCTGTCCATCTCAGTGTCTGGCGGAGGGTTCGCTTGTGTCCGGTTGCCAGGACCCAAAAAGTTGTTTTGACAGTAGCCAAGATTGAGTTCTTATTCAATTTGTACGGATTTGTACCGTTACCCGTTAACCCACACCATCCATCCGCCATCTTCCCCTCTCTCTTTGTTGGAATTTATTTCATATTATTGCCCTTGTCGTTGTTTTTGTTGTTTTCGTTGTTTTTGTTGTTGCAATTGTTGCTGTTGTTTGCGTCACTGCTTGGCCTTGTTTTGGCAACTCGCAAACTTCTTGGGGCGGTTGTCCGAGTGCTGCGGCCTCAGCTGCAGTTAACTTGCTGCCCATCTCTCTTTTTCATTTTCTTATTCATTCCCCTTCCACCCCTTCCCTACTCCTGTCCGCGTCTGCTTTCTTGGCTGCAGGCCTGCGTAGAGCTCTTGTTGGCCCCAACAATTGACTCTGCGACTCTGGACGATGGACAATGGACACTGGGCTGCCAATTGGCTGCCAGTAGCCCGCAAAAGTATGCTACAAATTTGTTGCCAGCACTTGAAGAACTTGCCACAATGCTCGCTTGCTAAGACGATCGAACGTTTTTCGTATAAAATCAAAATTGCATCTACATACATACATACATACATACATACATATATATACCTCTCAATAGAGGATATGGAGATACTTTGGAAAACGTAACTGATATGTTGACCGCCCGAAACCTTTAAACTAATATGGACAAGAACCTATATTTTAATTTGTATTAATTTGTATCAATTTATAGTCTGTGACTTTTTTAGTCTCTGCCCGCCTTGTGGCTGTTGCATACTTTTTACACAAACTTATGTTTAGTTGTATAAACAACCAATTACGTAAGAAAATATAAACTATTACGTATACGCAACATGTAAAGTATATGTATATATAATGTTCAACGGCTGTTCAGGCGTGTGTTTAATTCAGATATACGATTTTTTGTTGAATTTTCCGTGGATATATTTTGTATATGTATATGTATATACATATGTGGCGTAATATATAATGTAATATGTATTTGTATGTATTTTCTGGCAGCTGAATATCGTTTACATTAGCCTGTGTTTACTGTTCGTTGGCATGCATGCAAATAATGCATATAAGCTGGAACTGACCATGACTTCGTGACGACTTCGACATGAACTTATGACTGCATGCATCGTATAAAAAACGAAAATAAACAAACCAAAAGAACACCTCAAGTTCTGCAAGCGCCCTGCAATGCAGCGGTACTTCTTGGTAAGTGTTTACTTTTTATTTCATATTTTTTTGTTGTTGTTTTTATCTAATAATACGGTAATTTATATTGTTGTTTTTGTGCACAAGTTTTTGGCAGTCGTTTATTTTTGTAATTGGCACTTTTAGTTTTCATCGATAGCAGCAGTGGCGTGCGCTGCCAAAAGTTGCCATGCGTATATTTGGCAACAAGAATTAATCAAGTTTGGTTTAATGTTACACAATGATTTGCAGGTGCGTTGCCTGTTGGTTATTTATGAAGTGGCACACTTCTCCCAACCCCAACCCCAACCTCCAACCCCCCACTAAGCCCATTCTTCAAGTGGCCCAACACTAACCACTTTTGGAGATGAGCTGCGCATTTTTTGTGCCCCACTTCACTTCAGTGTGTTCTTTATTTTTTTTTGTTGCCTCTGCAACTTGGTCTACATTTCTGCTGTTCTTGGCTGTTTGCTGTTTTGCTTTGGCTTTAGTTTTGCTGAGCGCGACTCCAAATTGCCAACTTAGTTGTTATTTGTTGGATGTCTGGCAGCTTCACGGCGGCACTGTGCTGGACAATAGGCAGGGGTGATTGGTAGATGGGGAGAGTGTTTTCGTTGGCTGTGCATATTTGTGTGTGTGTGTGTGTGTGTGTGTGATTCGGGCCAATATTCTCGTGGCCGCAGCACTCTGATGGCTCTCACGTCACCACTTCTGCAAATTGCAGCAATAATGCAACAAAGGTTTCTTGGGAAACACACACCAAATTGCATGCGCTGCGAAACCCAACCCCCCCACCTCCATAGGCTGCCTGTGCGCGGGTGTGTGAGAGTGTGTGTGTGTGTGTGTGTGTGAGTGGCTGGCGACTCGAAGACGGAGTCGCAAGTCAGTCACTTGCTGTTGCCTTTGCCAGTGCCAGTGGTCCTTCGCTACATTTCATATTCAATTTTGTATCCTTCCGGCAAATACCCTACTAAAAGGGTCTTTTGCACATATCATGACATATTTAAGACCCAGAACGGCGCACGCACTTCTGAAACCAAAGGATTCCACATATAAATTCGAATTAAAGATGACATTTTTTAATCCCAAAATTAAAGAAATAAATCGAATGCTGATTATTATATAGTGCATCAAGCTTTTCGTTTGTGTTTATTTTGATATTTTTATTTTTTCTTGCAGCTATATTTCTTAGCTTGCGTTCTGTTTACATTTTCAGTTGCTGCTGTTGCTGTTTCCGCTTTGGTTTTCATGTTGTAAGCAACATTTTTGTTTGTAATTTAGTTTGGAATGCCGCCGTTCCTCCAGCGGTTTTCTTAGAAAAATCTTTGTTGGCCAACCTCTTAACGGTATATGGGGAATTCGCGTAATTGCAACAACGCGCATTCCTACTCTCTCTCTCTCTCTCTCTCTCTCTCTCTTCCTCTATCTCTGTTTGTCCCACTGTGACTGTGTGTGTCCTCTTTAAGTGAGTGTTGACAGACGGCAGGCAAATCAACTGACAATGCAACTGATGCGGGCCTTGCAACAAAAAAAACACAAAAACGAAAATATCAAGGAATAACAGAAAAAGAAAGAAAAAAAAAAAACACAGCACAATGCTCAGACGCCGCGTGGCACATGCGAATTGCGGTCTTGGGCAGCTTGTGAGCTTGGAGTATGAGCCAACAGTTGCTGGCTTTCCCATTTATAACCGGGTCGGGTGCCAGCCAGCCCATTCCCATTGGAATCCCAAATGAAGAATAAATGTGAGTGAGAAACTCGATTTGCAGCTCAGTTCATTTAAGAATTGATTGCTATGCTTTATTTTTATTATACATATTAGTATAACTACGAGTATTGTTGTTATTATTACTTTTATTATGATTATTATTATTATTATGATTATTATGATTATTATTATTATTATTATTATTATTATTATTATTATTATTATTATTATTATTATTAGTACATATTATTATTTTCTCTGTTTTGTTTTATTTGGTTTTTTGAAGGGCACCTGACCAACCACAAATCCTTTATTTAAAAAGTCTAGCTAGTATTGCGTTGGCTTTAATTTTCTTGAGAAGATTATTACATTTATGTTTTGCTTTGTATTTGTGTTTACATATCATATCAGACGTATTACATTCATTCAGAGCTGTGCAGCTATCGGTCGTCATCAATTAATTAACAATTGCTGCATTTCCTTCAAATTGAATGACACTGACATGCCAATGACAGCAAATAGATCGATAAGCCGACAACATTGAGTACTTGCAGTGTTGAAGCAGTGCCAGAGCCACAAAAAACATCAGGAATAATTCGGGCCGGGTTGCCATCAAAACAACAACTTCAGCAGCGAATTGGATTTCAGCAGCATATAAGCGCGGAATGAAAGTGACCAGAGTCAGATAGAGAGCGAGATGGAAAGGGCGGGATAGAGAGACAGACAGAGAGAGAGAGAGAGAGAGAGAGAGAGAGATTGAGAGGGAAATGGCGAGGCAAAAGCTTAAAACGTATTGGCAACACCTATTTTCAAACAATTTGCACCGCACGTTGCGCACAGCTCACATTCATTAATTCATTCATTCATTCGCTCATTCAATGATTCACTCGCACATTTCCAATGCCTTGCAATCTCTTCATCCCATCCCAAAAACCATTTTTCCGTTTGTAGCTGCCAGTTGCTAATTTTTGTTGTTCATCGTCAGACTGTAAAAGCATTAAGAGTCGACGCTGTTTTTCATTTTTTCATGGATTGGTTTTGGACATTGGGAAGAAATTGATTCGCAGCGTGAATCATGTCTGAGGGGAACAAACTTTAACGTTAGCTTGAGGTCTGCTCTATGTGCCTTTTCGCACCTCTCTCCACGTCCCCCGCCCCACTTCCATTCAGTTCGCATCGTTTGCAATTAAATCACAATATTCGTATCACGTCCGAGATTCCATCACCAAACAATTTCATACGTATTAACACGATGTCGAAAGTGAAAACAGGCGAAACACAAACACCAAACAGCAAAAAATTTCCTCCCTCTCATTCCGCCGCTCCCCCTCCAACCCCCACCTCACCGGCGAGCCACCCAGGGCATTGAGTTCAGGTTTTTCTCTTTTATGTGAGAAGTTTATTCTGGTGTTAAGTGCGTGTTGTGCCTTCTATCATAACACACCTAACAGGTCTCGACATTTTAATATACTCAACACGAACATACTTTTGAAAAATGAAAAATGATTTTTTTTTTAAATTATTTACATTTTTAGGTTAAATTGGGTTAAGCTAAAATAAAAAGTAAAACCCAAATAGATGAAATAAATAAATATCAAATTGGTATTTTTATATAAATTTCTTAACATAAAATTAATTCAAATTCAAATATACACCACGCACTTAACTCTAATTGACAATAGTGGAATCAGATCTGCCTCTTTGATATGCGTTGTGTGTTTGTGTGAAACTAAAAGGTGGCTCTGATAGGTGGGGTGGGTGGTGTTGGCTGCCCTAAGGGTCAAGCTAGGGATCCATTAAAATGAAGGTGATTTAATTTCATTAATTTGCCCATACAAAATGGAAGGGGAAGGGAATGGGAACCAATCGTTACCAGCTGGGGCTACCATTCAGAAAATGTTCTCTTAATTTTTGTAATTTCTTTGCCAAGGGGCAATGTTCGTTGAATGTGGGTTGCCAACCCTCTATTCCCCTCCTCTACTGCATGACATTGTGGGAAATGGCTTAAGGCGCGACTTTTCATGATTTTCCATATCAAATCAATGATGCCAGCAAATGTGAGAGCAGGTAGGGAGGTGGTGGAGCTGAAGGGGAGGGGCAAAGGGACGTGTAATGTGTCTTTACGTTGATGTGGCAAAATGTATACCGATGATTGCGCAAAAAACAAACAAAAAGCAATGCCTCTCAGCTCAGAGAGCCAATGAATAACGAACCCAAACCCAAACACCAACACCAACACCCATCCCCTCCAACTACAATTCCTTTACAGGCCCAACACCGGCTCATGGCAGTTCAGAGAGCATTCATTTCAATTCCACCCTCATGATGGGGCATAGGTTTGCTGCTTGCTTTTTGGCTCTGGCCAAGTGTTTGCATGAGAAGCTGTCAAAATGTTGGCAACGAAATTAATTTTGACATATGCCAGAATACGTGAAGGCTTCAACGGATGATTCGAGCAACCAGAGGTTGGAGATGGTAGTTAAGTACATATATGGCCAGGTAGACAAGGGATGCGGAGTAACCTGTGTATATGTGTGTGTGTGTATTTATTATATTATTCAAAATATAGTTGATTTGGCCAACGATTTGACAACAGTTCAAAAGTGTCTAACTTTTGCCATTGTTCTCAAAGCAAGAAAATCGCTCTGCATTTTTGAAACTCGCCGTACATTTTTATTATTCAGAAAGTAAAATTGTAAAAATATACAAATTTTTTCTGCAATTTAGAGCATTGATCCGTTTTAATAGACACTGAATTAACTTTCGCTAAATACATATAAAATGTGCATATAAAATATGCATATCGAGAAAATCTTTAAAAAATCCATTCAAAATATTTATGAAATAGATACAAGTGCAATGAATTTTAATTAATTTTAATTTTGTCTTCGAATCACATTTACAGATTCTGCAATGATTTGCGATAACAATAATATATAATATATAATATTTAATTATTGACACCTTTGGATTGTTGTAGAGTATACTATTTCAGGGACAACTGCTGCATCGAGCTATCGCCCAGTTAATTGTCAAGCGCAACAAAAAAAAAAAAAAATATATATATATCAAACAAATATCTTCCAACAAACTCAGTCTTTCAAAATTGTTACAAAAAGTGAAAAAGTGTTATTTTATCTGCTGTGTTGTTGGTTCTCGAAATGGGTGTCGTCGCATCACGGCATCTGAGCGCCGCGAAGCTGCAACAGATCGAGAAAGAGTCGGGTTTCTCGCCGCAACGCATCGATTATCTGCTGGGGCAGTATCAAACGCTGGGACGCGACTCGAACAATTCGGTTCTCCGGACTGAGCTGCTCAAGGTGCCGCCTGTGGCGCAGCATCCGTTTGCGGAACGCCTGGTCGAAGTGTATCTGTATCCGTCACTCTGCTTCCAACACTTTATACTTGGCCTGTCGCGCTTCCGACGCCACGTGCCGCTGCAACACAAGCTGGCCTCGCTGCTGCACATGTACGATGACGATGGCGATGGGCTGCTTAGCGCGGATCGGTGCGAGGAGCTGATCTGTTGTCTACCGGCGACACGGCATGAGCTGCGTGCCATACGCTGGAAACTCAAGCAGCTGGTGACTGCAAATGAAATGGAACAGCAGCAGCCGCAAGAGGGGCAGCAAGTGAAGCAATTGAAAGGTTTCCTTAACTGCGACGATTTGGACTTTATCACACGTAATGTGGATCTCGATGAGAGTCTCTCGCTGCGCTTCAGCTAAACAGCAAGTTATATATGTATATATAAACATATACTTAAATGGGTTATGTTGCCGCCTCCCAAACCATCCTCACAGTTGAGTCAAATTGCATATTCGCTGTTCGCTGTTCGCCGGTTGCCGGTTGCCGGTTTTGCCGGTTTGCCGTTCGCATAACATCACGTTGCCAAAAGTTTTCATATAAACGCAAAAGTTAAGTCATTCCTGAAAATTGTTTCTTGAAATTTACTTGCAGGCACTTCAGTGTGCGAAGGAGACAGCGACAGAGAGCGGGAGCGGGAGCGAGAGAGCGAGAGCGAGAGAGCGAGCGATGGAAGCAGCTTGCACTTTAATGGGGCACTTGAAAGCAGCGTCGTGTCCTCCGCTAAGTCCCCATCGCCCACCCCCGGCAAATGGTGCGCCACTTGACTTGTGTGTCTTTATTGGGCATGTGGCTGCCTACATACATATGTTACGACACCGCCTCCCGTCTCACTTGCTCCCCGTAAACTTGCGGCTCAATTTTGGAGATTTGGTTTGAGGTCACCTGTTACCAGCTAACTGTTGTTTCTACCTATGTATGCGTTAGTCTCTGTATGTATGTGTATGTGTCTGTGTATGTGTGTGACATACTGCAAGTGCTGCTTTGGCACTTCATTGTGCTTCTGGGTGTCATTCATCCTATTGAGTAATTGGCAACGCGTGTCGCAGCTCTTTGATATCCAAACAACACCTGCTGCTGGGTATCCTGATGATGATGATGATGTTCAAGGTGTGCATTTCACACATCTGAGCGATTTTAATGTTTTATTTACGTTAATTGAATTACATATCTTATTGCAAGTAATTTGTTACATTTTGAATAAAATATAATTTCAACCTCTGTCTCTCTCTCTCTCTCTCTCTCTCTGAAGAATTGACCTAGAAAATATAGTTTAGCTGTGGACATTTGAAGTGATCGCCCGAACTAGTATTATTTTCCTCGCTTGACCAAATTTCGTGTAATATTCAAATTATTTGTTACACATTTCGCACGCCTTCCGCAAAAATGTAAATGAAGTTGTAAGTGCAATTTGTGTAACTAGATGAATGGGATTGGATGGGGTTCCTAGGATAGGCAGATGCGAAGCGATAGTCGCGTTTTTGTCTCTGTCATTCGCTTGGAGTTTTTTTTTCGTTTTTTTTTTTGTCAGTTTCACTTTGCTGGTTTTTGCGACTGATTGCATTTTTATCCCTTTACACACAAAATCCTTGAAATATGCACACTAACTCATGCGTATTTTATAATAATAAAAGCACACGGCGAGCAAGCCAACGAGATGAAGAAAATAAGGAAAACCAACAACGGAACAATGGCACTTCATAGTATCTTCCTACCCCCTCTCACTACTATCACCACTTCATTCCCCCCTCCCCGCTCTTCTCAGTCCTGCTCGAACCGCGGGACATCCGTGAAAATGCAAAGACAAAAGATGCAGCAAATGATTCGCTGCCTGCAGCTCTGCCCGCAGCCAGCGACTGTGGGTGGGCGGCCACGGAGAATGTGACAGGTGGGTGGGCGGTGGGTATCCTTTTTGTTGGTTTGGGTTGCTGTCAAATCTCTTCACACGTGCAACTGGCGCCGGGCAAGTTGTTAAGGCTGCTCCTGACATATGCACAAGTCGGTGGCTGCCTCGCATGTGCGATGTTGCATGTGGCAGGCATGCAGCAGGCAGCAGAGTTAGCTTAGTGCCAGCTTATCCACTTTCAACAACAGATGGCAACTCCATGCGCCACCTGGCATCTGAATGCAATAGAATAGCATAATTTGACTATTGATTAAGATTTAATGCAGTGCGCTCAAAGTGCATCTAAGCTGATCCTTTTCCCCCTTCCCCCCACCCATCACCTTTTGTCCGTTGTCTATGCAGATGCCGGAGCTGACACAGCTGGTGCCTGATCCTTTCGTGCTGATTGCCACTACATCAGCGATCCATTGAGTGCTGCCGTACGATTATGGCCACAAAGCGTCCTTATGGCCATAACTCAATTTCTGAGCAACCATCCAATAATTTACACTTACAATTTTACCGTTCTAGGCATACCCTAGAAGGATACTTGAATTCTGTTAATATACATATCTGTATATTATTGAGAAGTCGATGAATACTCTCTTTACCAAGTTAAGGCTTAAAGTTAACATGAAAACTTGCAAATTGAATTGTTGAACAAAATCTTTCGTTTTTCGAATTTGCTAGATTTTCGATATCGCGTCATTAGCAGCTTGCTATAAGGGTATCTAATCGATAAGGGTAACTATCCTTCGGCGTACTAAGGAGTCTTTCTAACTTGTTCTTGTTTCGTTATTTTATTTTTTTTTGTCACGCTTCAGCTTGGGTCTTTTGTTCCATTGGTCGTCGGCGTTGACTTCTTCTGCTCTTTTTTTTTTTTTTTTTTTTCGTTGCTTCGTCTATTTTTGCATTATTGCTTCTCATGCATTTGCAGCAGCTGCTTAAACGTGTTTCAAATACGCAATATGCCTGCCCCGGCACGCCCACCAAACTCGCCCGCACTCACCCCAGTAAAAAAGAAGCGCCCATGCGAATTTGGTATGCGAAATTGGCATTCGCTGGCGTCCCGTTCGGTGCATACGAATGAACATTCTTCCAGCTGCCTGTTTTATTAGCCGTCATATAAACCAGGCTATATGCGTGTACATGCCCCCCGCTACCCCAACACCTTTTCCAACTGCTCCGACTCGTCCTGTCAGAGCCACATTTATGAATGACTGCAACTTTGGCTTCTTGCCGCAAATGACACTACACAGATTTTCCATGTGATAATTTGGCTCAGTTCGAGTCGCCCCAAGTCCCAGACTGCAAAACACACGCTCACAGTCCTACAGTCGGAGAGGTCCTTCTGCTCATAATTGTTTTAAAACTAACTCAACCCATGACATACACTCAGACTCATAGCGCAAACCGTTGAAAATAAATCTTTTTAGGTTCAAATTGTGTTGTTTGCCCATGCAGAAAGTACTCGATAATATTGCTGTATCATCGCTAGCCAAGTCAATATAGATATGTTATATCTAAGCATGTGTTTTTTTTCAATCCATAATCCAGACTATTTCTAAGTACATTTGAAACATCAGTCAATTATTGTTGAGAAATACTTACTGAAAGCGACATTCCTTCAATCATTATTATATCGCTAAAATTATATATATTTTTTTTACTTTAAATACTTTCTCTAACATTTCTTCCTGTGTAAATGCTGACCATTTAAGTCAAGCTGATCTTGTGGCTGGCATAGGTAGATATGGATTGACTGGGGAGGTGAATGGTTGGGGGGTTTGGAAGTTGGAAGTCTTGTTGTCTGGTCGCGTGGCGCGTCCTGCGCCCTTAAACATATTTATTATCATGTCGAAGTGTTGTTATCCTATCCGTGGGGCTATGACGGTGTTTGTTGATGTTGCTGTAGTTGTTACTCTTCATGTTAACATGTGTTCAAATCGTTAAGGAGAGAACTTTGTGCAAAATTATTTGCTACAAAACACTCGACGTGTTTGCGCCTGGCTGACTGTGCATGTCTGCTCTCCTCCCCGTTCTCTTTTACTGTCTATCTCTCTCTCTCTCTCTCTCTCTCTCTCTCTCTGTCTCTCTCTCTCTCACTCACTGCTAGTCTGTCTAACTATCTGTGTTAGTGTTGCGCCGAGAGCAGAGGCGACAAACAACAATACAAACAACAGCTCATTGAGTTTTAGAAAAGTTGTTAACATGAACATTTGATGTCACAACATTGCATCCCTTTAGCCCTTTCATTTTGCCATCGCCCGACGCTTTGCTCTATGAATGTGTGGGGTGGTCTTCATATGGTTATATTGCCATTGCCATTGCCATTGCCCATTTTCATTTTACCAACGACAACACAAGTCGAACGAAGCGTAAACATTTTTGCAGCAACGTTGCGAACTGCTGCCCCTTTGGTGTCCCTTTCCGGAAAACTCCTCAACCCCAACGACATTTTGCCTTGACCCAGCAGCAGCTTAAAAAAGAGCCAACTACAAAGTTTTACACTTAACAGACAAAATTGTCTACAAATTTTGTTAATTTATGTTATTTATTTAGTTAGTTATCGCTTTTGTTTGTCGGCTCCCTTCATACTAAAGCCCCTTCTTCCTTCTTTTTTTTTTGTTTTGCTTTGTTTTCTTTGGTTTTTTTTTTTAAGTTCGCTGCGCCAGCTGCTTTTGGCCTGTTGCTTTTGTGGTCAACTCTATTATTGCCCTTATTACAGATACAGTAAGCCCACCGCCCAATCTACTTTTTCACTTTGTCTCCATTTCTCTCTCTCTCTCTCTCTCTCTCCATGTCTCTCCCTCTCGCACCCTTTCACGCTTGCAGAGCCTCTGCGCTTTTAGCAACAACAATAACGGAAGCTATAACAAGAAGCCGCAGCAAGCACAACGATATTAATATAGCATGCAACACACACACACAAATACGAAAACATTTGCAAGCGCTAGCAAAAATTGCGGAAAATTGGAAACTCTGAATACCGTGTTTGAAGTGAAAACTTGCTTAATGTCGTATGATTAATTTTTTCATTATGCTTTTTTTTTATTATTATTATTTCTTTATATAACCAAGTTTTTGTTCAAAGAATAAGTTTCGAATTGATTTAAACTTCTTAAGCTTGAATGGTTACGTGTATCCTTGAGCTTTATAATATATAAGCTAAGTAAATTGTATATATATATGTACAAAAACTGTAAACATATTTACAAAACAGAATTTGTGTTACAGCGGTGAGTGGCACTTGTTGCTTAAACCTTAAGATTTGGGGTTTTACCAAACCTTGCATACAATTTTCCATAACCACTCTTAAGGCTCCTCTTGCAAGTTGTTGCTAAGTTGCTCCATTTGGTGTGTATTTGTGTGTGTCTCATGTTGGATGCTGCTCAACAAAGTCATTACAATCGTGGCTGGGACATAAAAAAAAGCATTGCATACTTTTCTGGCGCCACCAAAACGCAGCAGACGCATTAAAATCGCCGGGCCCAAGGTACAGGGGGACAGAGAAAGGGTGTGAAAAATGAAGCAGAACGCAATACAACGAGAAGTCTAAAACCAATGTTAGCAGCGACGTAAAATCAACAAGCAAATGTGGAGGGGGGGAGAGGAGACAGCATGATGGCGGGGAAAGGAAGGGCTGGGTACTCGCTGGATGTCGCGGCAGTGTGTTAGGTGACGGTCTGCGGGTCATAAATGGAATGTGTGAAGCGCCTGCGAAGCTCAGACCAATTGTCTCGATTGAGACACACAGACACACGCATAAAAATTGCGCATACGCCTCATGGTGCACGAAAGCTGTTTGTGTGTGTGTGTGTGTGTGTGTGTGTGACGACGTCAACAGTGTTTGATGCGGCCTTATTGCTTCTTCAGCGCCTGCTATTGGATTTTTTTTTGTATTTTTGGTGTTATACGGTTTATTGGTCTGCCATGGTCTCAGCTCAGCTAGACAGTGGCAAAGCCGAGGGGTTATGGGTTGTGGCGAGAGAGACATGACAGTGAACTGGCAGGCAGGCAGGCAGGCACAGACAGACAGACACAGACAGACAGACAGACAAAAAGGCAGCAACAGCCGAGCCGAAATGATTGCAGTCAAATATTGGCAGAGAATCCGCGTTTATTGTGCACTTGAAACACAGGCAGGCAGCAACAACAACAGCAACAGCAACAGTACAGAAACAGCAATATCAACAACAGCAACAACAAATGTGCGTAGCTTTAATGCAAACAGCCAAACAGTTTGGCACAAATGCAGAGACACAAACCAGAAACACAGGCAAACAGAACCTACACACACACACACACACACACACACGCACACACTCAGTAGACCGATATACAG